TCTCTCTTTTTTTCAAATTCGGTAACCTCTATAAATCCTATCCTTGAAGAAACCCCCACCCCGTTTATCGATACACATACAAATAACAAAGAAACAACAAAAAACCCTCCCCCCTCTCCTACCCCACCCCTTTACGCGTCATGTTGACGAGTAAGGGTGGGTGGATGGGTGGTTGGGTAGTGAGTCTGTAGTAGAAGTCGTAGTAGACAGCTAGACTAGCAGTAGCCGGGCGAGGTTTTCCCCCCACCGAATCAGCAGCGACAGCAGCAGACAACGACAACGCCGGGCCAGGTCCTGGGACTGTGGTGGGCACGCGACCTGGCAGGGCCTGCGCAGACGCGGAGAGTTCGCGTGCGGCGGGACAGGGCGCGGTCATCCCGGGCACGAGCCGACAGACAGGACCGACAGTTGTAGCCCGCGCTCCCTCTCGGACGGACGGACGTACGGACGCACTAGGCGAGAAACGAGACGCCGATGCGATAGATAGATAGACGACGAGTAGTAGTTGTCGTAGTAGCTGCCACCCGTTTTTGGCGGTAGTAGAAGTAGTAGTAGTACCATCACATCAGCAGACCGCAGCAGGGAAAAGCGGTTCGTTCGTCGTTGTAGAAGCAGCTGCAGCAGCCGCGGGAGACAGACAAAAAACAACCCCCGCTAGCGACTCTGAGTGGTAGCGGTTGTTGTTGGTGCACCCGCAAACCCTCCGCACGCACGCTCAACTCACACGCTCTGAGAGTTGTACTCAGCCTCCCATCATCCTCTGCGTCATTGTGTGATTGGGGAACAGCCCAATCGATACAGGGTGCGGATCATCACTATCAGAATTCACGTCGACACCAGTTGTTTGAACTTGATCAATGAAAACGTCTTAGCTGCAAATGGACTTTATCCTTTACCACATTCTCCTGAACTCAACACAAAGCAACCCTTGGAATTTGAACGTTTAATTTGCGCGTTTTTCTCTTGATACGGAAATAATTCTTCTGAATCCTGATGAAGTTGATTTTGTGACAACAAGTTGGTGTTGTTGTTTTTTTTTCAATTGAAACAACAACTTGATGTTTTCGTTCGGACTTGTGACTTGTTGATGTTTACCCCGTGTTTCAGGGATTGATAAATTAAGCGGCACAAATGCCTTTCGCAAAGATCATGGCCTCTACAGCAAAGCTCTCGCCATTGTCATCGGCATCATCAGCGTCGCCGACAGCTTTACCTCCATCGTCTTTGACATCATCATCTTTGTCATCTTCAACATCACCGACTTCGGTTTCAACTTCTGCAGCAGCAGCAACGTCAGTATCTACAATCAGTATTCCCGTGAGTGCCTTCCACGACCCTAACAGCAATGTCATCACGATCACACCGTACATTTTTGTCAAAACTGCCACAGTCGCAGAGCAGATGCAGGCTCTGAGACAGGACAAGAAGCTTGGCAAACCACCAGAGCAGCCAGCCGGGGCCATGAGGGTCAAAAGACGTACTGACCTCAGTAAACTTGGTCTACCAGACGCAAAACCCGCCTCTGTGTCTAGAAGAAACGCCCGAGAGAGGAACAGGGTGAAGCAAGTCAACCTCGGATTTGAGACTCTCCGCGATCATGTCCCGGATGGGAAAAAGGGAAAGAAGATGTCCAAGGTGGAGACGCTTAGGTCTGCGGCTCGCTACATTAAAGACTTGTACACCATTCTTCACGGAGAGTTGCCAGAACTAAGTTCACCCACAGTTTTGGACGAGGCAGACCCTGGCAGCCCACTCGACAACAGTGTGTGTTCTATCAGCGATAATGACAATGATCTCAGTGCCGCCAGCCCAGAACCACTTGTTCAACAGTATCAACAGCAACAAAAAGCACAGCCTCAGCAACAGCAGCAACAGCAGCAGCAACTTCAGTCTCAAGATCTTCAGCAGACTCAGCAGCAACAGAATCAAGACGTGGTTGATTTGACTTCTACTATTTCGCCGTCAAATTGCAGTCCGCTGTTGTCTCCTAAGCGGCAAGTGTTTTCTTCACAAAATCAAGACTCGCTGGACATTGTCAGTCAGATATCTCAACAGCTCCAGCTCCAGCAACATCAACAACAGCAACAACAACAGCAGCAGCAACAACAACAGCAGCAGCAGCAACAGTTACCACAGCAGAAACGACAACAGCAGCAAATTGTGTCCAAACCGGCTGAGAAAATGTCCGTGCTCAAACAACAACTTAGCCGCAATCAAAACCAACCTATGGACACTCTCCACAGACAGCTAGAGCAGCAGCAACAGTTGCTTCAGCAAAACCAACTCCGCCTGCAAAGGCAACAGCAGCAGCAGCTTCAGCAGCAACAGCAACAACAGCAAGTCGAACCACAGACCCTTCAGCCGTCTATCGACCCGTCGGCTCTACGCTTTGACCAGCTCACCTGTACCACCATGTCCAGCAACCTCATCCCCAGCCCAACCACCAACAACAGTGCCGACAACAACACGGCTGACGCCATCATCATCGACTCTACCACCCACAGCAGTGTCGGCCATCACAATAATACGTTTACAGAACTCTCCCCAGTGTCTATCATAGACGACCCATGCGATAACTACATGGATCTCACGCCTTCAGACACCGGAGGTTTTACCAACACACCGCTCACCAACACCACACCTGACTCAACGCACCCGTCACTGTCCCTGTCACTGATGGGCAACGACAACAACATCACCACCACCACCATCACCATCAATAACAACAATAAAAACAACAATAACAACAATAACAACAACAACAACAATCTCATCAACAACAATAACTGTAAAAACGCGGAAGATGTACCCAACTCCCCCTCCCTTCTCCAATCGTATATCTCCGACGTGAACATGAACGTTATAGACCCCACCCCGGGAACAACCTCAACCACGGACTTCGACGCTCTACAGAATTACTACAAATCTATTCGAGCCGAGCACTTCAAAAACATCGACTCTACCACGTTTGTGTTCGAACCCCGACACGCTAACGGACTTACCGCCCTGGGGGGCATCTCCCTCCCTAACGGCCAGACGTCCAGCGCAGTCCTATCCCCCGCACCAAGCCTGGGTAGCACAACGTCCACCAGCAGCTCAGAAGGCGAACTTTGCGCTAACAAGTCATACGACTACGAAAATTACGACACTCTGGACAGAGAGGCTCTCTTAGACATTTCCAACTGGATCAGTGAGCTGTGCCAAGACGGGATGCAGGCCAATGGTGAGTTGGACTCTAGCTGGAATATGGAATAGAAGATAATTCGAGAGATAATTCATAAATAATTATTATAAATAAATAATGAATACAAAGAGATGTTGTCATTTTGTTTTCCTTATGCTTACCACCCCTAACACCAAAATCATATTATTATTAACAGTCTCTCCCTGTTTGTCATACCACCCTCGCCTCTTCCATCTCTCTCTTTCTTTCTCTTCTCTGTCCCAAACTCTCTATTTCACTCTTCTGTTTCAGCTTGAGTGGGTTTTGAAGAATTTATTTCTTTTCATGTAACTGCTTTCCAGTTTTGCATAATCATCTATTCGCCTTTTCTTCTTCCCCTCTACACACCCTGCAGGGAGCCCTCGTATTTTTCTGTTCACCTCATTAAAACAAAAATATTTGAGCTTCAATTTTAAAGAGAAAGTTACACTGTTGTTATTATTTTGCATTTAGATACGCATATAATTTGACAAGGAATGGCAGTCGAAAAAAAAGAGAGAATGAAAAGAGAAGCAGGCGATATCAACACCGAAAGATTGTGATACATGAAAATCAGAGTTTCCACAGAAGTAGAGAAAGTAAGACAGATAGACAAATACATAGAAAAAGGGAGAGAGAGAGAGAGAGAGAGAGAGAGA